TTTTATGCTTTTAGAGTTTTAGATACTAATTATGGGTGATATAATACTTTCTTTGTCGCTAATGTTTTTTCTCTAGGCATTTGATTTTGTCAAACATCCCGATGGCCTTTCATTTTGGCTAGCAGTGTTGTGCTTACATTATGGGTAGAGCATAAAGAAATTGAGGTGTTTAAGTGCTTTCTAAGGCCATATTTTAGATGGTATGATGTAAAATAAAAAGTAGCATAGATGGGATTAATCTATTATTTATATGCCTTTTTTAAAGTGATGTAGGAAGAGGATAGTTGCTTAATAAGCTCTACAGAACTGATGTACACTTCTTATTTGTTATTGTTTTTGTGGATTGAGATGTACATTTTGTTTCATCCAATCCCAACTCATTGATCAATTTTTTTTGCTTTAAACCTAATTTTTTTTCCCATATTTGCTTCATGATTTATTTCATTAAAAGAACTATATAATGAGTTTTCATCCTCCTTGCAAATTCATTTGAGTTTTATGATTTTTTTTCTTAAAATCATATAAATTAATTGTTATGAGTAGGGACGGAGATCAAAATTTATCCGTGGGGCAGGGATTAAAATTTCACCTACTAACGAGGGCGGACGGGGATGGATAAATATTTTTGAAGCTGGTACGGGGTTGGAGACTATTACCCCGCCTCGCCCCCGCTCCTGTCTCAATCTTTTGTCATCCCTAATACTCGGTATTGAATAAGTTTGAATTTATTTTTCTATATGGTGCATTTGAAAAGTTTAGTGTAGTGCCCTTGATTTACTTGCTCAGCTGAAAGTGATATTCAAATTCTTCGTTTTTCTATTTGTAGTCGAGATTATTTATGGATGGAGTCTCCTACTTAAGTACATTTATAGCAGTGAATTACGTATTGATAATACAATTATTTCTTGGAAATACTTTATTGTTTGAGGTTTTTCCTTAAGTGTAAACAAAGAACAATGAACATGACTCACTCGCACGGTGCGAAGGTGATCGTCAACAAGGTCATTGGTGATAGTTTTGAATCGAAAGCCAAGGTAACAGGCAAATCAGGACTCAGCATTGCCATTCTTGACGATGCGATTGTAGTTAAAATCGGGGGTCAGAGAGAAGGGAGAAAGACAGAGAGAAAAGTGGTGGAAACATTCTTCTTTGTGTGTATTCTTTCAATTTTGTTGTTGGTACTGCCTCAATAAAAAAAATCTCAAAAATAGTCAAGAGTTCTTTCAATTTTAATTTTTATGGTACGATGATTATATATATATATATATATATATATATTTAATGTTTTTGTAGGTAATTTTGTCCATTTTTTTTATATATTCATCGATTTTAGATATTTATTGTTATTATTATGTGTGCACCTCTTTTTTCTCTTACTAATGCTCATTTTTTTTAGTTGTGAATTTTTTTTATTATAAAGTGTCTTCAGGCATGGACAATAACTAATTTTTCAAAATTCCACCAAAATACCAAATACATGTCATAACATATCCATGGCTACACAAATTGACAGTGTCAACACTTCAACATGTACTTTCAACAGTCTACACAACACTAAATAGATCAACAGAGCCACCCAAAAGACGCCCTGCAAGGATCCTAAGAGTTATTTTAACTCCATGAACCAATAACTTTTCAGGATGACAATCATTATCTATGGCAACCACCATGAGTGTCACTCAATTTTGAACCACATGCATAGCAGAATTGGAATTTATACCTGCAACAAGTAACTCCACGGTCAGCAAATTGAGCAGCTGATTGATCTTCTTGTGCTGGAGACAATTATCGATCAAATCTAGCAAAGAATAAAAGATTTGACTATATAACATAGGAATTTGAGTGTAAGAATTAAGTCCAGAAGCCTAAAACTAGAAACCCATTGAGGATCATATGAGACTTACACTACTCTATGGAGTAATGACCCTTCATGCATTATAATTAGCCAATTAGACCATCTGATGGTCTCTAATAGACTCATCTAACGACCATCAACATTTATCTCAAAATTATTCGCGTTGTATCGTACCTTCAAACATGAGTTACTCCTAATTAACATACAAACTCAGATCTTTACAAGCTCAACTATTAGAAATCTAGCCCATCAAAATGACCAATTCAATTCTCAACATGTAGTAAACAAACTAACGTGCAAGCATCAAACTTAAATCATAATCTTAAATCCCAACCAGTTACATAATTCACACGAACACACAATGCGAACAGAGACAACAGACAATTCAAAATTCATACATAAGATGCGCACGCACGCACACACACACACACGTTCTGCTCAATTTNACATAATTCACACGAACACACAATGCGAACAGAGACAACAGACAATTCAAAATTCATGCATAAGATGCGCACGCACGCACACACATACACGTTCTGCTCAATTCNCAATGCGAACAGAGACAACAGACAATTCAAAATTCATGCATAAGATGCGCACGCACACACACACACACACGTTCTGCTCAATTTTGGATAGGTTACATAATGCACCCAAACAAACTCAATAATCTTGCTACTTGATAGGGGTGCAACTCGGGCGGGTTGGACGGGTTAAATCTAATCCAATTCTAGGTATATAATTCTCAGTTGTAACCCTAATCCAACCTCAACTTGAGGTACTCAACCCGAGTATTACCCAAGTTTAATTCAGACGGGTTCGGGTTAAATTCGGATTACGTAAATCGGGCAAATTAAGGGTTAGAATTCGGGTTGGTTTTGAGTTAGGGTTATATAATTCGGGTTGATTTCGGGTTAGAATTCGATTTGGGGTAATTTAAAGTCGATCAAATATTTACTTAAAGTAACAATCAACAACTTCAATCAAATATTTAACATAAATACCATAATATTTAAAACATTAAAATTAATGTTTAACATAAAGACGTAATAACCAAATGTTTAACATAAGACTGAGCTAGAAGATTGATCCCTAGTGTTTTAACTTGTAAGTTATATTGATAAATGATTTATATATTTATTTTTAAATATGTTTGGGTTGAGCCCGATTTAAAATTCGGGTTGAGCTAGATTTATATATTCGAGTGGAACCCAGTAACCCAAAGCCTGACCCTGAGTACTGCCCGAATTAAATCGGGTAGGTATTTTTCTGTTCAGGTCTAACCCAAGTATTAAAAACTTCAACTCAAACCCTATTTTTCTTGAATTGGGTTCAGGTTGGTCCGCCCAAGTTGCTCCCCTACTACTTGATAGTGAGTTAAATAAAGTGGCGGCTTCATATCCTGGATTGGGGGCATAATTATATTTTATACCCTCTGTCTTACATTGAGCAAAGAAACAAGAGACAAAAAAAGGCAAGAAGTAGTGATGATGCACAAGAGTGGNAAGATTGATCCCTAGTGTTTTAACTTGTAAGTTATATTGATAAATGATTTATATATTTATTTTTAAATATGTTTGGGTTGAGCCCGATTTAAAATTCGGGTTGAGCTAGATTTATATATTCGAGTGGAACCCAGTAACCCAAAGCCTGACCCTGAGTACTGCCCGAATTAAATCGGGTAAGTATTTTTCTGTTCAGGTCTAACCCAAGTATTAAAAACTTCAACTCAAACCCTATTTTTCTTGAATTGGGTTCAGGTTGGTCCGCCCAAGTTGCTCCCCTACTACTTGATAGTGAGTTAAATAAAGTGGCGGCTTCATATCCTGGATTGGGGGCATAATTATATTTTATACCCTCTGTCTTACATTGAGCAAAGAAACCAGAGACAAAAAAAGGCAAGAAGTAGTGATGATGCACAAGAGTGGATTTATACACCACCTGTCGAGTAATTAATATATGTAATAAATGCAGTAAATATAAAGATAAGATCCACACAAGCAATATAGATATAGAGTGGTTCGATCAGGTTAACCTACTCCATTTTGAACGTGACAACGGTGGCCGAAGGACTTTATTGATAAAATAATAGGTGAAAGAGAGAGAGAGTAAGAGTAAACTCTATGTGTTGTGAGATAGCTATGAGAGAGATAGTTGTGTATGGGACATAGAGATGTATCCCTCATGTGTAGAGGGATTACAATTTATAGGCACAGAGTCTTAGTTGAGGTGGTGGCATAAGGGATAAGTTATTAGTCCTTCGGGAGGATAGTTACAACTAAGGATAAGTATAATTAAAGATAGTCACGATCTTTGAGTAGTGGTTATCCCAATAATTACTACCCACATAAGTTCCTGAACTTTGGACTAGGTCGAATCNAGTTGTGTATGGGACATAGAGATGTATCCCTCATGTGTAGAGGGATTACAATTTATAGGCACAGAGTCTTAGTTGAGGTGGTGGCATAAGGGATAAGTTATTAGTCATTCGGGAGGATAGTTACAGCTAAGGATAAGTATAATTAAAGATAGTCACGATCTTTGAGTAGTGGCTATCCCAATAATTACTACCCACATAAGTTCCTAAACTTTGGACTGGGTCGAATTCATAAGCTGATCTTGACATGTTACTTTGTAGCTAATTTGGGTTTACCTCATTAATCAGACCTAGACCCAGTTGGATCTAAGCTCATCATTTGCCCCCTTGCCCCAAACCTTATTTGATTTGGGTTTACCTCATTAATCAGACCTGGACCCAATTGGATCTAAGCTCATTCTCATGCCCCAAGCTTTATTTGTGACAAAAGGGGATTGAGGGTATGAGAGAGCCTTTCATCTGGATAGACAAGGTTTCTTGCTTTGCACAGTGATACCTCCCAAGCTTCTTGCTCTGTTCGGTTGGTCCAGCTATCTTGCTCCCCCATCTCCTCCTTCAATATTTACAAAGCCTCTTTTCCCCATTTGATTGACACTATGGTATCAAAATCTACAATTGAAGACCCCCTTTTTATTTAGGGCATGCTTTATTGGATAGTGCTTATATACCCAAAGGTCGTCCATACCTCTTGACCATTCCCCTTTTTCTCACCCCCACAGATTGCAGAGACACTAGCTTACAGAGAAGGCGAGGCATGGAAACGAGATGGGGGTTACCGAAGGAGAACGAGAATGTGGTAATGAAGTTGGGGTCCGTCATCACCTCGGTAGGCGAAGCCTTGCCATGGGCGATGCCAGTAGACTCTTAAGGTGGCGCCAACAGCTCAGGCAATGCCTCAAATGAAGCGGGTGTCCGAGGCAGCAATGAGAGTGCATGCGACACTTAGGGCAGGCTAGGTGGGCTAGAAGGCCATCTGATCAGCGCCGATGTAGAGGAGAGAGGGGGCGACGTCAGGGATGCGTTGTGCGGTGCAAGCGACGTCCTTGGCATGAGAGGCGACTCCGAAGCAGGGGAAAAAACAGGCAGTTGCATGGGCAACTCCTTCAGGGAAGCTGGACTTGGCCTGGGCTTAGGAAGGCAATGTACTGACCTGGGTGACGCTAGGTAACACCTGGGTGCTAACCTAAGTGATGCCAGACAGCTAGGCGCTGGCCTAGGCGACACCAGGCATTGTGGGTTTATGATTGGAGGGGCCTAGCTAGGCGTTGATGCTATCCCCTCTGAGCTTCCAAGCGGTGCCACTATTCGCGATAATCTCGACAGCACCAAGTTTTGTGAAAAGGCATTGGGCAGCGTCTGTGGATGCACTACTCGGCTAAGTGGTGGCAGGCGTCCCCTTAGGCCGCTGGGAGATGGCGGACCACGTCCTAGTATGCTGGGTCATGGTGCTTTGGAGGTTAGCAATGCGGGCAGGAAGCCAGGTGGTAAAGGCGACACCAGAAGCTCTGCTAAAAGGAGGGAGTGTGATGCCTTTTCTTTAGTAAGATGACCGTGCTTGTCCTTCAGCATATTAGTAATTCTAATGCTCACTTGACATTTTTACTTTGTTGACTTTGCTACTGGCATTGGTTCTGATCCTTGACAAGTGTCACCCCCGATAAAGGCACGACGAGGAATGATCCACAGGATTCCCAGAGAGACAAGGGGACCGTTGAAGGAGACGGTTCGAAGGTAACCTCTATTTTTAGCTCAATNCTTAAGGTGGCGCCAACAGCTCAGGCAATGCCTCAAATGAAGCGGGTGTCCGAGGCAGCAATGAGAGTGCATGCGACACTTAGGGCAGGCTAGGTGGGCTAGAAGGCCATCTGATCAGCGCCGATGTAGAGGAGAGAGGGGGCGACGTCAGGGATGCGTTGTGCGGTGCAAGCGACGTCCTTGGCATGAGAGGCGACTCCGAAGCAGGGGAAAAAACAGGCAGTTGCATGGGCAACTCCTTCAGGGAAGCTGGACTTGGCCTGGGCTTAGGAAGGCAATGTACTGACCTGGGTGACGCTAGGTAACACCTGGGTGCTAACCTAAGTGATGCCAGACAGCTAGGCGCTGGCCTAGGCGACACCAGGCATTGTGGGTTTATGATTGGAGGGGCCTAGCTAGGCGTTGATGCTATCCCCTCTGAGCTTCCAAGCGGTGCCACTATTCGCGATAATCTCGACAGCACCAAGTTTTGTGAAAAGGCATTGGGCAGCGTCTGTGGATGCACTACTCGGCTAAGTGGTGGCAGGCGTCCCCTTAGGCCGCTGGGAGATGGCGGACCACGTCCTAGTATGCTGGGTCATGGTGCTTTGGAGGTTAGCAATGCGGGCAGGAAGCCAGGTGGTAAAGGCGACACCAGAAGCTCTGCTAAAAGGAGGGAGTGTGATGCCTTTTCTTTAGTAAGATGACCGTGCTTGTCCTTCAGCATATTAGTAATTCTAATGCTCACTTGACATTTTTACTTTGTTGACTTTGCTACTGGCATTGGTTCTGATCCTTGACAAGTGTCACCCCCGATAAAGGCACGACGAGGAATGATCCACAGGATTCCCAGAGAGACAAGGGGACCGTTGAAGGAGACGGTTCGAAGGTAACCTCTATTTTTAGCTCAATTGATTGCGATGATAATTTTTCCCGCATTATATCTTTGTACCGTATCCCTCCTACTATTGTGTGTCGTTAGGGCGAGGGGAATGAGCCAGTGTGCTTTAACTCCTTTTTGGAGATTGTTTTTTATGAGGATGTCCTAGAAGTGAGTTTGGGGTTTCCAATACCAGGGCCCATATGTCAGATCCTTGGCCACTTGTCACTCACTTCAGGGAGATTGACACTGAATGGTTTAAGGGTAATCTTAGCGTTCTTTTTGCTTTGGCAGTTGGTCCACGGTATGGACATCCCTCCTCCTTTTGAGGAGTTCTTGGCCTTGTACATGCTTCTAGAAAATCCTATTCCTCATCAAGGGTGGTACCTCTTTGCCCCGAGTCCGGGTGAGTTTATTATTGGACTGCCTTCGAATTGGCACAGTTGAAAATCTAGATTCTTGTTTATTGGAGGTGAGTGGGACACTAAAAAAGATCGTGATTTAGTGCCTTTGAGGTGGGACACTGCCCTGAGGACCAAGTTAGATAAAGGTTTTTACCTTCGCTTTTATATCTGATTGTCATGTCCCCATACTTATTGTGTGCTTGGTTCCTTTGCAGTTCCACCCACGTTGTTTACAGAGTAGAAGAGTAGGCTCCAGGTCATGCAAGAAGGAGTTTACAACCCTCATGTCCGCCGTAGGTCATCCTAGAATCTCCCCTAGACAAAAGAGGAAAGGTACTTGATATTTCCAATAAGCTTTAATAATTGTAATAGTATAGATTATGTCTTATACTAGTTCCGCAGGTCCCACTGTTGATAGAGCAATGGGAGAGGCTCTTTACGCTTCTAGGGTGTCATATTCCCCTTTTTCTAAGAGGACGAAGTCTGATGCCCCAGCGTTTCTCGGTCGAGGTTCGATTGCCAGGTTACTTCCCAGGAGACATGACCCGGTGGTGCCCCCACTCCTTCCCTAGCTATGACTTCTTCGCATTCCAGAGCTAGCCCTAGTACTGTTGTAAGAGTTGAGATTCCAGTGCAATTTTTCGTCGGGACTGAAGTTCCATGTTGTTGTCCTACTTTTAGCAGTGGTTTGGTATCTATGCTGCAAGACATGAATCTGGACAAAGAGCGGCTTTGGGAGGTTTGTGACAGATGCGAATATCATAAAGGTCGGCTCTCGAGGTCCAGAGGGCATTATCAATACCGCAATGGAGGGGTTTGCTATGGTATGCCTTTTATTTAACTTTGATTTTCTACCCGCCTCCTTTCCCTCATGTCCTACTTTTTGAATGCTTGTAGGTGGCTGTCATTTTTTTTTGTCTTTTTTCACGGACGATCAAGCTTGGAGAGACATCCAGGGATCTGGCAAAAGAGAGGCAAGACACAGAGCCTTAGTTGAGACGGTGGTGTGAGAGACTTTATTGATAAAGTAATAGGTGGGAGAGAGAGAGAGAGCAAGAGTAAGCTCTAGATGTGGTGAGGTAACAATAAGAGAGATAGCTATGTGTGAGATGTAGAGATGTGTCTGTCATGTGTAGAAGACTTATAATTTATAGGCACAACCTTAGTTGAAGCGGTGACATAAGAGATAGGTTACTACTCCTTCAGGGATGATAGGTACAGCTAAGGATAAGTACATTTGAAGATAATCTCGATCTCCGAGTAGTGTTTATTCTGGTAATTACTTCCCACGTGCACTAATTTTCTTAGGTTCCTGAACTTTTGGACTGGACCGAATCCATAAGTTGGGTTNATATTAAATATATTAAATGATGTATATTTATCTGTTTAGTTAAGCTAGAATTAGTTTTATAATTAGTTAGCCAGCTGGATGCAAGGAGTTAGTTTGTTATGCAAGCAGTTAGTTTGTTATTCTAATTTGTATATAAGGTTTTTCCTTATACACGATTCTGTAACTGCTTATCATTTTAATCAAAGAAGATTTTCTCTCTATTTTTGATATGGTATCAAAGCTCGGTTAGAGCATCAATGGCTTCCGCTAACTCTTCTTCTTCATCTT